AATACAAACCTGGAGGCTATTTTGAATCTTCAAGTGAGTCACACCGAGATGACTCATTTTGTATGTGAGTCCTGGCTATTGTTGTCTACTATGCCATTGAAAAAGGAAAAAGGCATGTAGGTGAGTCACTCTGAGATCTCATTTTGTATCTGAGTTGAGTTCTTGCTATTGTCTGCTATGCCATTGAAGGAGGAAAAAGTCAATTTTTAAATTTTCTTCATGAATATAATTTTGGAAGTATTTATTATGAAATGTCAAGACAGAAAAATAGCAAAAAGAATTATATATATATATACATATACATATATATATATATATGCGGATTTTTTAGACATGTTCTATGTAGCCTTGTCTGGCCTAGAACTCTCTATGTAGATGGCTAGCCTTGAACTCGTAGAAATCTTGCCTCTGCCTTCCAAGTGCTGGAAATAAAGGCATGTGTGGGATGAAAGGCATGTGCTACCATACCTGGTTATTTCATTTTTCTTTAGAGCTGAATAATATTCGTTTATTTTATATATGTATCAGACTCTATCTGTAGGTAGACACACAGGTTGGTTCTAATTTGCTGCTATATATAGTAAATAGAATAATAAAAACTGTGGATATGCAAATATCTCTATGGTAGGATATAGTGTTCACAAGGAATGCTGCATACATAACTTTTTTTGTTTCTTTGTTTTTTGAGACAGGGTTTCTCTGTGTAACCACCCTGGTTGTCCTGGAACTCACTCGGTAGACCAGACTGGCCTTGAACTCATGAAGATCCATCTGCCTCTGCCTCCCAAGTACCCCTGCACCACCTGGCTCATATATAACTTTTAACAACACACTTGTATGGGTTGGGGTAAAGCTCAATGGTAGAGTATTTACCTAGCATATCCTAAGCTCTGAATCACATTTCCAGGATTGAGAAGAAAAGGAAGAAAGAAATATGCATGTATATAAACCATATTGATCACAGAAAGCCATTATTATAGTTTGGTTTAAATTTTTAGGTAGGCTCTTACACTATAGCTGAGACTATCCTGGAACTCACTGTGTAGTACAGGCTGGTTTCAAATTCATGGCAATCCCCCTGTTTCAGCTACCCGTGAGCTAGTATTACAGGTATGAGCCACCATACCTAGCAAAAACTATTTCTTAAATAATGAATTTTATTAAAAAATTATCTACAACCAGCCAGTAGATGACAGTGTAATCCAGTGAATAAAAGTGGCAGTCTATGACCCCTGGTGAAAATGTACCTTTGAATTCCTAATGTTCTGTGGAGCATCAGGAGCTTGGCCAGGACTGCAGGGCATTCCTGGCAAATGGAACAGGTGTGGTTAAGCGGTGTGGTTAAGCATCCAGTGCAAGTAACCAATCACAAGCCTGTGTTCCTTTGCATTGTGACTTTTCTAAACTCTGGACTTGGCTCGGTGTACTGGACTTGCCCTTCTGCCTCCCTAAAGCCATGTAAGCAGAGAGGAATCAAACCTTAGGACTCTAACTCCTAGCTCAGTATTAACATAGCAAAAATTCCATAAATGCCTGCTGATAAAGAACACAAATCTACTCAGTTGAGCAAGTGAAAGGAGGAGATTTTTTTCTACAAAATGCTAGAAATGTGTTGTGCATTCTCTTGTGTAATATGAGGGTGACTTATTCTATAATTTCAAAACTGTCTCTTCATGTTTGCAATGCTAGGGATCAAATCCCACACATACTTGGCAAGTGATTTACTACATCACTAGAGTTCATACAATTTTTAGCAGGAGTTAAACACACACACACACGCAATGTAATGAAAAAGAAGTAAATATGTACATAAAACATATAGTAAAATAATCTCTTGCAGAAAATAATTTTATTTCATTTTTCTTTGTCAGGGTCTTACTCTAGGCTTGTTACGAGTCTGAAACTCACTATGTAGCCCAACCTGGCCTAAAGCTCACACTATCTTCTGCCTCAGCTTCTCGAGTAGGGGCAGTACTACTACATTTAGGCAGGTGAATCTCTGAATTCAAGACAAGCCTGGTCTACAGAGTGACCTCTAAGATAGCAAGGACTGCATAGAGAGATCCTGTTGAAGGGAAGGAAGGAAATAAGGAAGGAAGGAAGGAAGGAAGGAAGGAAGGAAGGAAGGAAGGAAGGAAAAGAAGAAAAGAATCAAATGCTAAACAGCTCATCTGTTAGAGTGACATTTATTTCAATAGACATATTTGCTCAGTTTTTCACACTGGTAGAGCTTAACTGGTTTAGTCTGCCCCCCCCCACCTCCACAATAGGCTTTTCCACCAATGTAGTAAGCCAGATCAAGCCAATTTGAAAAAGTACAATGGGTTTGAGGAAAGCAATCCCTAGGCAGGTTCTCCAGTCCCAGAGATCAAGACCAGAGAAGCCACACCCACAAATGAAAACAGGAAGACTTTATAGGTTGTAGGCACAGTATGATGACATGTCTGGCACAAGCTGGGTTTGTGCCCAAGTATAGTCAAAAGCTGAGTTTAGGAAGGTACTTGGGCAGTGGCAACTTCAGGGGAGGAAGCTGCAGTAGCCACCAAGAATGTAGAACTGGGTTTTCTGGTGCCTTTCCTTTGTTCAGAGACTCTCTGAGTGGGAGGGATGGAATAAGGCTTTCTGGATTGTGACAAGGCAAGCTGTCACACCTGCTGAGTGCTACAGTTAGCCTATGGACTTTCAGGTAGCATGAGCCACATGAGGCCACCAGAGGTCAAGGTGTAGTTATCACTTAAAAGATAAAAGATATTCAAGTGCCTGTATGAGCTTGTATCTCTGAAAATGTTTATAGTATCACAAAACTGGTTTGCCAACATGTCAGGCTGCCAACGTGTCATGTTGCTGAGCCAACAAGAATTAGTGTTCAGAGCTCCAGTTCCCAAGGCTATAAATCTTGAGGTTCCTCACCTTGGCTGCACAAGAGGAAAGGTGTGGAGTTTTAAAAGGTGCTGGTGGCTATATCATACCTCCCGAGTTTCTGATTGAACTGGTCTGGGGTATGACCCGGCCATTGGAGCTTGTGATTCTACAAATGGGATTGAGAAGCTTAACTATGGGGCCTTTGTGTTTTTTGAGGAGAACACAAATAATTCATAGCAAGTTAAACACACCTGTTCTTCCCTTGCTGTCACAACTCTCCAAGAACAAACTAATGTGAAAGATGCATAGCCATGAGATTCATCAACCGAGTGTCTTCTCCCCCTTTCAGTTACTGTAGCTTTCTACCACAAACTTGCTTGAGCCTTTTAATGCTACTCCTCCAATAAGAAAACCAGTCATCTAAGTATATGGAGAAGCTGAGATTATGAAAGTTCCTGCACACTCTACAGAAAAGATGTGAATGTTGCTCAAAGCCCTGAGTTCAATCCCAGGTACCAGATTATATGAACTCCATAAAAGAAGCACTGTACAGAAGTGTGTGCTCATCTCAGAAAGCCCAGCTCTTGGGAAGCCGAGGCAAGAAGATTAGGAGGTTCAGGTCAGGGGCCAATAAGATGACTCAGTAGATAAAGATGCTTGCTGCTAGGACTAACAACTTAAGTTTGATTCCGAGGGCCTACAATGGAAGGACAACCAATTCTTGTCATAGAATGTGTGCATATGATTGCTAGTATACACACACCTACACACTCAAACACATACTCACTGAATAACCAAGTGTACAAATGTCTAGAAAATATTCTCAATATTAATTATTTAGTCTAAGAGTGACTATGTGAATTTTCTCTGGACTTTAAGCTATTTTGTGTGTTTAAATTTTTCATAATAAAAGGTTGTGAGAAAAAAGATCTCTGGCTTGATAAGCAGAAGATAGAGGCACTGGTCAGTATGTGCTGAAAATAACATTCAGATGCAGACAGCTCCCTCTGCTATCATGGTCAAACTTTATATTTTCAGGTATTTGAAGATGTTCATAATAAAGTGGTAGAGGGAGAAGTTCTGACAACACTTAAAAACCTTTGTTTATCAGCTGGACAAAGCAGCCTGACAGACTACAGCCAGGATTTCTGAATCTTCTTCGAATCCCCCATGACAGCGCACCTTACCAGCAGGAAGTAGTTTGGAAAGAACAACGCCCAAATTCCCAAATATTGTCTATAAATGTTTGTTTTCATTTAAATGGACTTGGTTATATAAAATTTAAAAAAACCTTTGTTTATGTATAAAAACCATAAAATTGACAGGAAAAAAAATACTGGAACTGAGAAGTATAAAAAAGACTGCAAAATAGTCTACCATACCAAAGTCAATGTGTTTCTTATCTATAAGCAATAAGCAAGTCAAATTTTAAATTACAAATGGAAAGCTACTTATATTAGTGCCCCCCAAATATAAAATACTTAGATATAAGCCTGAAAAAAATAAGCAAAATTTACACAAGAAAAACTACAAAGCTCTGACAAAATAAATCACAGGTCTAAATGATCCCTGCTTCTAACAGGAAGTCACAGTCTTAGCAGTTCCCTGCTGTAGGCAGACAGGGGTGTAATCACAGTACCTATATACTTCTGGTATGGTCCTTTTTATTTTTGTGGTACTGAAGATCAAACCTAGAGCTCCCCATATGCTAAGTAAGTGCTCTATTACTCAGTTCTCTACCCAGGCCTTGGTGGAGACCTATCTCAGTATTTTGTAATCTCTAGAGCCCTATGACTGCTTCTTATCCTTATTTTATTCCCAATACTGTTTCATCTAGTATATAAGCAAGTCCTCAGAAACAAGAAATGGAGTAACAGTGAATGAGTGAACAACTCAGAAAATATAATCAATATGTGTCTTGGTGTGAATTATATAAACATGCAATATATGTGATTTCAATAATGGTATTAAACCTATCCCATAGATTTTTAACATTAATACTTTTATTATAGCTCATTTGAGATATGTGAGTTAATAACTAACAATATCCAAAGTCCAAGGCAATTTCTTATAGTTAATGGAAAAGGATGAATTTGCATGCATGACAGCAAAGGTTTTTTTTTTTTTTTTAACTCTACCTGTTGTTTGGCTCTCCATATCCATACTGGTTTAGCTTAGACAGTATCAACATGGGAGCTAAAGACTGAGCAGGTCTGGTAAACAAAGCACTGATGCCAAAAACCATCAAGGAAAGGGGAGACCTAAAGCCAACAAAAAAAGAACATTGGTATTAATATAAATCACATTTGTTGCATTTTTTCTTCTTTCTTTGAGACAGTGTTTCTCACTATATAGCTCTGGTTTGTTGTCTGGAACTCACTCTGTATTCTGTAGACTAGGCTGGCCTTGAACTCACAGAGACTCATCTGCCTCTGCCTCTCGAGTGCTGGGATTAAAGGTGTACTTCACTGTCCAAGCGCATCTGTATGCATGTCTATGTGTGAAAGGCCTCTTCATATAAAGTTCCCTTTGATTTAAGTAAGCATCTATAGAAATACCTTAGCAATCATAAAATATTAATTCCTTAGTTTTAAGGGATAATAGGATGTAACTCCATCATTGTTATTTTTATTGTTGTTGTTTTTAATTTGTTTGAGGCAAACTATGTAGCCCAGACAGAACCATAACTCATTATGTTCAACTCAGTTGAACCCTGAACTTGAGGTGATCCCTCTGCCTCAGTTTCTGCAGTGCTAGGTTTCAGGTGTGAATCACAACACACACTATTTATTGAGACAAGGTCTTGCTGTATGGCTGGCCTAGAATTCAAGTGATCCCCCTGCCAGTCTTGAGGGGCTGAGACTTCAGGGAGGTACCACTATGCTTATCTGACAATGAGCAGCCACATGGTGCTTATGTGTATTGGCATTTGGTAAATGTTGGTACATTGCAATCCATACAACAGAAAACAAATTAGATTTTACTTTGGTTACTAAGCTTTAACCCTGATGTAGCACTGGCTGTGTGAACCTAAACAATAAAAAATATGATGTAATTTCAGAAATAGGACAATATTGTCAGGAACAAGAGGCATAGCTCAAGGGTAGAGCACTTTCCTAGCATGTGAAAAGCCTTGAGGTTCAAACAATAGCACTGCAAACCAAGAAAAGAAAAGGTTGCCCAGGGTGAATAAGCATGAACATCCTATGATATTCTGTTCCAGTGACAAGACAGCCATTAGGATCATCACTCTGGTATGTATTTGTGGTGTGTCATAACTGAGCTATAGAGACTCTGGTAAGTCCTGTCCTGTGACATTTTGTACTTTATATCTGAATAAATATACTTACTGCCTGTTAAACTTCAGTAAATCTGCATCAACCATGTCAGCCAGTGGCAAGTTAAATAAGCAAAAAGAGGCATGTACAATTACCCTAGGAAAAAATAAGTTAAAATACTGTACACTTATAAACATTCTACAATGACAAAGCACAGATCTATCCAAAAAAAAGAAAGAAAGAAAGAAAGAAAGAAAAGAGAAGAGAAGAGAAGAAAAAGGAAAAGAAAGAAAGAAAAGAAAAACCCAAAACATAGCCTGGAGCGATGGCTCATCAGTTAGACAACTGGTTGCCCGTTAAGAGGACCCAGGTATAATTCCCAGCACCCACATGATAACTCAGAACTATCTGTAACTCCAGTCCCAGGATCATACCCTCTCTTCTGGCCTCTGTGAGCACCAGGCACACACATACAAGTGAAACATTCATGCACATAAAATACTTTTAAAACAAGCAAAGCTGGGCACAGTTGTTCATGCATGCAGTTCCAGCACATGGGACTGGAGGTATGTATGTGTACCATGTATGTATAGGAGCCCACAGAAGTCAGAAAATGACATCAAATCCCTTGGGGCTGGAGTTACAGACCTTTATGAGTCACCATAAGGGTGACAGGAACTGAACCTGGATGCTCTGCAAGAGCAGTAAACTCTCTTATTTCTGAGCCATCTCTCAGCCCTCCATTTTATTTTTAAAACAAAGTCTTTCTCATTGAACCTATGGCTCATCAATTCAGCTAGGTAGGCTGGCCAGTAAGCTCCAGGGATCTTGCTTTCCCTACCCCATAGTCCATGCCCTGACCCCAAGCATTGGGTTTACAAAGCATGCTGTTATGTCTAGCTGTTTACATGGGTGCTAGGGACATTTACATTTCTGTGGAAGGCAGTTTACCAACTGAGTCATCTTCCAGGCCCTTGGTGAGGCTTTTTTGGTTTAGGGCCTTTTATTGTTGTTGTTATGTGTTTTGTTGGTTTGTTGGTTGGTTGGTTGGTTTTATTTTCTTTTGAGTCACAGTCTTATAGTCCAGGCTCACCTAGAACTTCTGGCAATCCTCCTGTGTCAGCCTCTGGAGTGCCAGGTTACAGGGGTGAGCCAACACACTGCTATTAAACAGAGCTTCTCCTTGCTACAAATCCACTATATAAAATGCTTTCAAAACATAAGCCATTAATATTCAAACAATTTCATTGAAAGGTACAATGCTCCAGACTACAAAGATAAACTCCATTCAGATCAAATATGTTAAGCCTGGTGTGGTAACTCATGCTTATAACTCCAGCTAGCAAGATTAAAGATATCTCAAAGTTTAGAAGGGTACTGGAAAAGTGTGGTACAGTGCTAAAATAGACCTGGCATTTACTTACATGATAACAGTGAGATAAACAGCCAAACAGTAATAGTATTCCTGTCCAAGAAGTAACATGACAATAGCGGCTGCTCCTTCTAGGTAGAAAGAAATTAAGATAATCTTATAGTAACCATATTTCTTCAGCCAGGATTGACCTAGAAGTACCAGACACTGCAAGGGAAAGAGATTGGCACTGTTAAGAAGGAACCCGCTCTACCCATTAATCCTGCCTACCTGTGATGACAAAACCAGTGTCTCCTTACAAAACTAAGTTACTTCTGAATTACAATATCTGTTACATTACTGCTTAAGCTGTCATGTGTTTGTGGATTTGGTTTGATTATGAGATGAAGTCTCACTCTGTAACCCCCTTCTGGCCTGAAAATTAACATATAGCCCAGGCTAGCCTTGAACTCTCAACAATCCTCCTATCTCAGCCTTTCAAGTACTGGGGATGAAGTTCAATGGTCAAAAGCACACTCTGAGTTCCACACCCCCAGCACTGCCAAAAAGGGAGGAAAAGAAAAGAAAAAATAACTACAGGCATTGATGTTATTTGACTATTATAGAAACTGCTACTATTCCCATATAACATATCAACTACCCAGGAGTGAAAGGCTCAACCGAGAGAGGTGGGGGTTGAACAAATTGGAGGATTGGAGGTTAAAGCCCAGCACTGACTCAAGATGGGTCATTACTAGCATCTCATCATTCACACTGTGCAGCAAATCTGAGATGCCCCTTATCCTGAAATGAGAAGTCTGGTACACAAGAGCTAGGACTCATCCCATTTCTCCTGATTAAATGTTACATATTTTAAGCATTCCAACAGATTCACACCAAGAACTTTTTTTTTTCCTTTCGTGCATTTTTGCTTCCAGTTCTGAAGCTGTTCATTGTTCTAGACTGAAGAGTCTATGACATGCTCGTGCATGTGCATTTAAAAATCAGAGGACACTCTCTGTTTTCAATATGAAAAGTGCATTGTTTAGCCCACAGAAATTTCTACTAACCAAACATATGTACATTACGATAGAAAAGGATTTTGAACAATGTAAGTCAAATACAAATGTCCTTTAATAAACAGAAGGGTTTCCCCTTTGGCCCACTCTTTGGCTTACTCCTCTACTTTCAAGGAACAAGAGCTCATTTTCTAGAGGCTAAAAACAGTAGCTCAGTGATTGGCATTTCTTAGAATGGAAGTACATAAAATATCCACAAGTTCCAGGATGCTCCTTTGTACAGTTATATTATAAAGTCACCCATGTCCACTTCCTGAAATAAAGCTGCTTCATACCAGTCTCTAATACAAAAATATGCAAGAAGTCAATAACGCAAGAATGTGACAGAGTGCAAACTGCAAGATTTGGAAATCAGAGCCTTACATCTGAATCCCAGCTTGGCCACTTTTAATTGCCTGTGTGTTCATAGGCAAGTTACTTCACCTACGAGACTTTTCTAATGCCTAACTCCTCTCCCTTCTCAATTTTCTGCTCTATTTTATTGTACTCTATCAACGAGCAATATCTCTATTACTCCATTCCCTTCTCATTTAGGTTCATAATCAATATATAAGACATTCAATAATTTCTAGCTATTATTCTTGTGTCCAATATGTAGACACGTGAGCCAATGATACTACAAAGGCTTATAGTAACAAAGAGAAAGACTATGTCTGAAAGCAAAGCTTTCCATAAATATAATTTGGCTTCTCTTTCAGATATCCAACTCAGTAGAAATCTTCAAACAGCTTGTCCCACCTATGTGTTGGCAAAGTCACCCACAGAAACATACAGCAAAGCAGAGCGAAGGAGGCAGTGTTGAGGTCTTGGTACATAGTCTGAGCCATTATTGTGTGCTAGCATGTGTTTTCTTTTAGTCAGTCAGCATAATAACTGCATTAGACAAGTCCCATTTTTATTTTCATTTTATAAGTAAAGATAAGGAGACACAGAGATTTGAGTAACTTGCTGAGGATCACACAGCTAACAAAGAGGGGAGCCAAAGATTCACCTTTGAAAAGATTCCAAAGCCATACTCTTAGATGCCACTAATCTGCTTCTCTTAGGGGAGAGGTATGACTGAACTCTTGAAAGGCCACTGAAAAGACCAGTTGGCATCCTCATGCACACCATCCTGCACACACCTGATTTCAGAAACTAAGCTAGGTTGGGCCTGGTCAGGACTTGGATGAGAGGAAGACTATTTGTATATATTTTTTTAAGATTAATTCTCAATATATGTCCTAGGCTAGCCTAGAATTCATGCCAATCTCCCTGCCTCAGCCTCCTGAGTGGCATGTGAGCCACCAAACCTAGATTGTTCATTCTTTTCTATTTCCACTTACTCAACTTTTTTAAATGAATGCCACTGAGCAGTCAGCCTCCTAAAAGGGAAACACAGTGTCACCTCATCACTGTGCCCAATGATTTAAAGAGGTTAAAGTCATTTAATCAAATGACAATTCTCATGAGCTATCATTCTTAATATATTTTATGCAAGTGTTATTTACCTAGAAGAGTAAATTAAAGCAGCTTTGTATTTCATATGTTCTTGTGAGGGTTTAAGGAAGAGGACCATTAAAATCTTTTGGACATATTTCTTTTAACATTTAACAGCTAGGACAAGTCTAAGATAAATATTTACTAGCTGAATATATAGCTTAGTGTTAGAGCACTTGATTATGCAAGGCCCAGGTTCAATCTACAGTACTAGGAGAGAAAGAGTTATTTACTGAACACCCATTTAACAAAGAACATATATCCAGAATATACAAAGAATTTCTGCAACTCAATAATATAAAAATTAAATAATACAATAATTGGCTGGGCAGTAGTGGGGCATGCCTTTAATCCCAGCACTTGGAAGGCAGAGGCAGGTAGATGTCTGTGAGTTGGAGACCAACCTGGTCTACAAGAGCTAGTTCCAGGACAGCCTCCAAAAGCCACAAAGAAACCCTGTCTTTAAAAACTGAAATAATAATAATAATAATAATAATAATAATAATAAACCAATTAAAATTTTGACAAAATGCTGCCATGGTATGGTAACTCTCACTTGTAATCTCAGAACTCAGTAGGCTGAGACAGGAGGATTGCCATAAGTCTGAGGCCAGCCTTGACTGCATAGAAAATTCAGGACTAACCAGGACTCTATATAGTGTGAGACTCAAAAAAAAAATGATAAACAAGGAAACAAAAGTTTAAAAAGGAAATAAGCACTTGAGAAGACATTCAACATCATTGTCAATCACACAGAAAATCAAAAATGTAACATGCCATGGTACGCCTTCTAACAATAAAGTGAAAAAGATTAATTATATCAAGTGTTAATTACCAAGCAACCAGAACATTTGTACACTACTGATATAATGTAAAAGGTGGATGGATGAGTAAAGTGCTTACTTACACAAGTACAAGGACCTGAATTTAAATCCCTTGCACCCATATAAAAGCCCAACAAGGCAGTGAGTATCAGAAACCCCAGCCCTGGGGTGGGGGTATGTAGGCAAAAATAGATTTTGGAGGCTCACTGACCAGTCAGTTTGGCCAAAATGGCAAATTCTAGTTCAGTAAGAAACCTTGCTTCAAAATATAAAGTAGAGAGCAACAGAGGAAAATAACTGAAGTCAGACACTAGACTCTATGCACACACTTAGGCAAGCACACACACACACACACACACACACACACACACACACACACAGGAGAGATAGAATGTTTCAACCACTTTGGAAACGCTTTGGGCAATAGCTATAAAAATAAGCATATACTTACAATGGAGAGAGAGAGAGAGAGAGAGGAAGGGGGAGAGAGGGAAAAGGAGGAGAAAGAAAAGGTATGCAGATCCATATCTTCACACATCTGGTCCAACCTAGAGACAGAGCAAAATGGTAAGATATGGGCATGATAGCATATGCTTAAAATTCTAGCACTCAGGGCCAGCCATTCTACTCACAGATATTAAGAAAGGAGAAAGGAAGGAAGGAAGGAAGGAAGGAAGGAAGGAAGGAAGGAAGGAAGGAAATTGCCACCACAATTTAGGTAGTTAATATTCCTACTGGAGAGCAGTGTTCAAATGAGTGCATTTAGTATGAATATGGCAAGCAAAAGTAAAACAATAATTTTCAGACAGCAGACCTCCACAACTTGCTTTCATGCATACAAATATACACTATAAGTAAATATTTTTCTTTATTTAAAGAGGTTTATTTGTTTGTTGGTTGGCTTTGTTTTTGTTTTTGTTTTCAAGACAGGGTTTCTCTATGTAGCCCTGGCTGTCCTGGAACTCATTATATAGACCAGGCTGACCTCAAACACACAGAGATCCACCTGCCTCTGCCTCCTAAGTGCTGGGATTAAAGGCATGCACTACCACATTTAAAGAGTTTTTTAAAGCATATGTAGGGGGAAAGTTATGCCTCACCCAGAAGCAAGGTAGTTCTGCCATCATCAGACTTTAATTGTCTAGTGTTCTCTGCACAGAACATAGCTAAAAGCCAAAAGGAAACAAAAGCATATACGGGAATCACCAAAATAAAATCACCTGTGTTTAGCAAAGCTCATGTACTTTACTCACTGAAGCCTTTTGGGTCTTCACTAAATAAATATCTATGTAAATGCTTAGGAAAAAAATTTAACTAAAACTTGGGAGTGTGTAGCTGGAGAAATGACCCAGTGGTTAATACTGATAGATGCTTTTCTGAGGACCTGAGTTTGGGACCCAGTACCCATATCAGGTGTCTCACAGTCACCCGTAACTCAAGCTCCAAGATATCCAACTTCTTCTAGCCTCTTTGTGTACATGTACCTGTATACACATCACACACACTCACACACACACACACACACACACACACACACACATGCACACACACACATTTAAATAGAAGAGGAGACTACAAAACAGTGTTAAAAGAAATCTTTAAAAATCTAACCAGGGGTATTGGAGGGTAAGAGCACTTGCTGTTCTTGCAGAGGATCTGAGTTTGGGTCCTAGCACTTACTTACTGGCTCAAAATCATCTATAACTCCAGTGATCTGATTCCATTCTTCTGGCCTCCACAGACATCAGACATGCATAGGATGCAGATATATGCATGCAGACAAAACACTCATACACATAAAAATAAATTTTAAAAAGAATCTATTTATTCAGCATATGCCCAAAGG